AAAAAAAAAAAAAAAAAAAAAAAAAAAAAAAAAAAAAAAGACAGTGTGGTATTGGTGAAAGGACAACGGACAGAACAGAAAGTACAAAAATAGAGTGAACTAATTTTTGACAAAGGTACAGAGGCAAGTGAATGGAGGAAGGAAAGTCGTTTCAACAAATTGTCCTGGAGAACAACTGGACATCTGTATGCAAAAAAATGAACTGACATACAACTCACACCTTATATAAATATTAACTCAAAGCGGGTCACAGACCACTTTGTAAAATGTAAAACTTTATATTTGTAAAATATAAAACTTCTAGAAGAAAAATAGAGGAAAATCTGTATGATCCTGTGTCATGAAAAGCACTACACTATTAAGAGAATCAAAAGACAAGCCATAGACTAGGAGATGCTGCAAATCACATATCTGATAATGGACATATATCCAGACTATATAAAGAGCTCTTAAAATTCAACAACAATAATAATTAAAAAAACCACTTTAAAGTATGGGTAGAAGATCTGAACAGATACTTTACCAAAGAAGATATGCAGATGGAAAATCAGCATATGAAAATATATTCACAATAACAAAAAAATCAAATAACCCAATTAAAAAATTAGCAAAGGACTTGAATAGACATTTCTCTAAAGGTGATACACAAATGGAAGCACATGAAAAGATGTTCAACATCACTAATCATTAGAAAAATGCAAATCAAGACTACAATGAGACATCACCTCCCACCCATTAGGATGGTTACTATCAAAAAAAAGAAAATAACAAGTGTTGGTGAGGATGTGAAGAAACCAGAAATGTTGTGCACTGTTGGTAAAACTGCAAAACGGTACAACTGCTGTGGAAAACAGTGTGGAGGCTCCTCAAAACATTAAAAATAGAACTACCAGAAATCCCACTTCTGGGTGTATATCAGAACTGAAAGCAAGGTCTCAAAGAGATATTTGCACATTCACGTTCATGGCCCCACTATTCCACAATAACAAAATGTGGAAGCAACCCAAATGTCTATCCATGGATAAATGGATAAACAAAATGTGGTACATACAGACAATGGAATGTTACTCAGGTTTAAAAAGGAAGGAGATCCTGTTATGTATGACAACATGGATGAACACTGAGGACATTATGCCAGGTGAAAAAAAGTGGTCATAAAAAGATAAATATTGTATGATTCCACTTATATGAGGTATCTAGTTGTTTTAGTCCGTTTTGTGTTGCTATGACAGAAATACCTGAGACTCGGTAATTTATAAAGGAAAGAGCTTTATTTGGCTTACGATTCTGGGGCAGGCAACCGGCGGGTACAAGCAGATCACATGGCGAGAGGAAGCAAGAGAGAGAGAGAAGGTGCCAGGATCTTTTTAAGCAAGGAGCTCTCACAGGAACTAATAGAGCGAGAACTCACTCATTAATCCCCCCTCCCCCAGGGAGAGCATTAATCCATTCATGAGGGATCCGCCCCCATGACTCAATCAGTTTCCAGCATTGCCACATTGGGGATCAAATTTCCACATGAGTTTTGGAGGGGACAACACACCCAAACTCCATCACTAGTCAAATTTATAGAAACAGAAAGTAGAATGGTAGTTACCCGGGCTTGCGGGGAGGGGGAAAGTGGGAGTTGTTTAATGGTTATAGAGTTTCAGATTTACAAAATGGAAAAGTTCTGGAGATCTACCATAACAGTGTGAAATACTTAACAGTAATGAACTGTACAATTAAAAATGGATTAACATGGTAAATTTTATGTTATGTATTTTTTACACAATAAGAAAAACAAGCACAATATGTTCAATGTGATTTGTCATTAAGGAAATGCGAATTAAAATCACAAAATACCACCAAGAAACCATCATGAATCAGAGGAGACTAAAGAGACATGGTCCACAGTGATAAGGATCCTAAAGTGGTTGAGACCAGGTAGTTTTCAAAATGCTTTTCAATTTTTCTTAAACAATTAAGTTACACTTCCAAATGCCACCAATTATTACAGAGGGAACATTTCACAACATTTTGATATTTTGTCACAGTCAATAATTTGCAGAAACAAACAAAAAATAGAATAAGACTTTCCATAATTGCAACATGGCTCTTTATACTAACATTAAAACACTGTATTTGCTGCTAAAATACTACAAGTTAATAAAGAAATAGAAAAACTATGCCATGTTACTTTAATAACTATTTCAATATGAAAGAATAAAACATAATGAAGAGTATATGCTTGCTTGGTGCTAATGGCATAAAGTTTTACAGTCTTATAGATGAAGCAAAATGCATAATTTGAGCCAGATGTAAAAATGATTAAGGATTAGTATTTAAGGACAAATATTTCAGAAAACATACGGAAAGGAAACCACACATTTGCTACAAGGAGTCCTCTATGCAAATGTCTTTACATTGCACTTTACTTGGTTTCTCAAAATGAAATCACCATCTGTTCTCAATAATATATTTTTTAAAAATTCCACAGAAGTAGTTCAACATAGTAGTTCAGAGCTCAGGTTCTACAGTCAGGTTTTTGGCTTTATCAAGATGCTATGGCATCTTGGGAAACTTAAATTCTCTGAGTCCAGAATACTCATTTGTAAAATGAGAATGGTAACAGTTAAACCTATCTCATAGGATTATCGTGTTGTTTAGATTAAGATAATACCCATAGGGACTGGCCAGTTAGCTTGACTGGTTAGGGCGTGGTATTATAATACCAAGATCAAGGGTTTGGATTCCCCTAGCAGCCAGCTGCCAAAAAAAAAAAAAAAAAAAAAAGGATTAATACCTGTAAAGTGCTTCCATGGTATCTGACACATAGTAAGTACTCAACAAAAGGTAGCCAGTATTATCGCTGCTATTACTACTACTATTTTCATCATTATTACTTATAAAATAATCATCCTTCAAATCTAAAAACAAAATAAAATAGGCTTAGAGGAAGTGAGTGTATGAGAGTAGCAATGATAGGAGGCTGTGATCAGAGAACAGAATACCGGATTTTGTAGGTGGTGTAGGTGATATACAGGCTGTGGTCATGGGAGTTTGTGGCTAAAGTGGAGTAAAGATCATTGTCTTGAGTTAAGGTTAAGGAATTTTGAGGAGGTTATGGTTGGTCATCTTCATGATGGATGAGGACAGGAAATGAGGTGGTAAGGAAGACTCAGTTGCAAAGATTTCATTGGATGCAGGAGAATAACTGGGAAGATGGTAGCTCAGCCCCACTCTGGGACTTCCCACCCCTCTTTTTCCAAGTTCCTTCTTGCTCACATCTGTCTACACTCCACTACTTTTCCTTGCAAATAAATCAGAAAAAAAGCAAAGAAAACTGCCTTAGTACTTGCCAGCAGCACCTCACAAACACGCCTTGGACACCTATTAAGTGCAACCCATTGTAGATAACACAGGGAGGTTAACACACCTCCTGTCCCTACACAGGTAATACAGGTGAAAAGATAGAAACATGAATACAAACACATGGATATTGATATCATTGAAGCAGTGTGACATAAAATAACATTTATATACACAACACTCCTCTGCAAATGGCAAATATAAAAGATACCCAACAGATAATTTTACTGTTATCTCAGTATCACTTCTTAATCTATGTCTCCCTCCCATATATCCAGGGAAGCAGTTCTCTGAGCTGCCTGACTAGACAGTAGGTTATTTATCAAGACCCTATTTTCATTCAGATCTGTGCTATCCTACCCCCTTACTCCAATCTGACTTTTCTTTCTTTAAGTATAAAGTCTGATATGCGATGCTTACCTATAGCTTTAATGTTTAACATAAAAGAAGCTTTATGCATATTTTAGCTTTTAATGGCTCTCCTCTGACAGTAGAAAGATTCAAACCATTGCCCATTCTAAAAACAAAGTCACTTAGAAGGATCTGACTTGCTGTAAGTTTAAATATAATTCACACTGCATTTCTCTATAACACATTTTAAAAAAAATATCTTTAAACATTTAACTTTCAAGAAGGAATAAAAACAGCCACTTTAGAAACTAGAGACACTCAACCACTGATCTGTTCATAAAGTTTCTACACAGCTGAAGAAGTTTACATCAAATGGACAAAAAATAGTACAGAAAACCTATATACAGAAAGATTTGGAAAAATTAATCTCATAGAAAGCAGGTCAAATGGACTCAACCTCACTGAATGTAGGAGAATCCATGCGAAGCAACATAAAGCCTTCTGCTGGGTTATAAATAGGAACTAGTCCATGTAGTCAAGAAGTTATTTTTCCTCCTGATCTAAGTGCTTGCCTCCAGTCTGGGCTCAGAGAAAGGTCCGGGTCATTTGAACTGGTTGTCAATCAAGGTCCCCTTCATTTTAGCTTTCTTAGCTTCCAGTTCAGCCTGGAAAGGAAAAAAAGTGTATGTCTTGATACATAATATGAAATTCTTATTTTCCTTCCTTATTCTAACTGCTCCAAACACTCTCCCTTAATGCTCATTTAGTGTACACACCGGAATAATGGTTCTAAAATCACTGCATCTGTAGTAACTGCTTTCCAACCTTTCTGATGTTATAACATACACAGAAAATGATATTTGTAGGCAAAATGGGTAAATATAAAAGGCTGTGGCCAAAGGCCATCAATGCAGGGATTAAAGCAGCCCAAACACCCACTGTGGGCTGAGGGAACCCATACCATGGCAAACCAGTATCCTATTCTTGGCAGAACAGGAAAAACGGCATTCTAGAACAGTGCCACCTAAAGTTGTATGATCTGTGAACTGTTTGTTATTGGTCCATGCAAGATATGTACAAAAATTGAGAGTAAGCATTTAGAAACTTTTATAGCAATTTGACAGTATAATAATAAAAGAAAATAATCTAATAAAAATTGAGGCTGATTCACTTTTACTGTATTTTACAAATTAGTAATCCACTCATGACAAATTCAGAATTAAAAAAAAAAAAAAGAAAGCATTGATCTTTCACTTTAGGAAGTTTCAGAAGCATTGATCTAGACCACTATGGCAAAGTAAAGCAGCTCCCAGGACCCATCTCTGTCACATAAGTCCACTACAGTCATTAGAAGAGTACCTTTTGATGAGGCACCAATGCAGTGATATCTGATTTTAATGAAATATTATAAGTATAAATTATTGTCATAAAACAAAAATGTAGGCACCATCATATGTAGATGTGCATGTTCTAAGGTGAGCCCATGAATAACACAGAAAATTGCCAGTGCTTTAAGAAGCAATGACCAGTTGGCAGTACCCAATCCTGGTACTGCCAAGGTAGCACTATCGTACACCATCACCTCCTAGAAGAGCATCCAGGAACTCTGACCTTTAACTCCTAACCTTGGACAAGTGGCAGATTAAAACATCATCCTGGTCAGGGCTATCTAACAAGCAGAGCATAGATCCTGCAGTCTCTACTACACAGTAGGGGTATACCAACAGTCACAGCCCAGGGTTAGAAAGTTAGCAGCCAACTATATCAGTAACCCCCTCCCCAGACTTCCTAAAGGATTTCCCTGCCTGCCGGAAGGTCTTTCAGACCCAGAAATGCAAACAATCAAGCCCTGCATCTTCCCACCCCATGCCACTCACCAGTTCTTGCAGTCGCCTCTTGCTCATGCCTTTGCGCTCCAGCTGTTTTTCAATCACTTTGGCATTCTGTGCATAGGAGTCAGCAACTTCCCTCTGAAGGAAAAAAGAAACATCCTTAAACCAGCAGTCTTATCAAGGAATAACAACGAAAACCATAAGTAGCAATTTATACTATTCAAATCATGAAATCATTACTGAAATGGCAGGACTCTGTTCCCTTTCAACTCTTCATCTTTGCAATAATCCAGGAGAGTTCCAGTTTTAACCAAAACATGAAATAAAAATTTTAAATAACAGATAACATCTCTCTGTAAACATCATTATAGTGAAGTACCATAGAGGTAATTGGCTGCTATTGCTAAGGACAGACACACAAACCATCAGAGGTGAACTGAAAGGGACCTGAAATCATTCAGTCCAATCATTTTTATTTATTTATTTATTTTTTTCCTTTTTGTCTTTTTTTGTGTCCGGCAACGGATTGCAACCCTCAGTGTCGCGCCCGTACCGGACCGGGACCGGCAATGGGATCGCAACCCTTGGTGTTGCGCCCGCACCTCGCTCAGCCAGCGAGCGGGAACCGGTCTGTATGTGGGATCCGAACCCTCGGCGGGAGCTCCGCCATGCTTCCAAGCGGCACACTGTAGCAGTGCGCCACCGGGCTGGCCCCAGTCCAATCATTTTTAAATTGAAGAGGGATGACAGCTTTGCCCTCTATGGAATCTCAAAAACAGTATGAAAACAAAATCACTGATCTCATCCAAATTCCTCGTTCTCATTTGACAGACATCTCTGAGATGCAGAGACACAGGCACCTAGCCCAGTGTCATATAGTTTCTTACGAGCAGAGCAGGGTCTAACAGCAAAGTCTCTAAATATTCTGCTACTTGGAGGCTCTAGCTCTAGAGCCCCGTTTCCTCCCCAACCCCCTGCCCCCAACTCCAATTCCCTTGACAGCAGAAGCACTTACAGCCTCAATCTCTTCCTCCTCTTCATCAATGGTAGACACAGTGACAGAGCTGAACTTGCCCATGTCTTTAGTCCGCCTGGTCATCATCACCTGGAGTGGCAAGAAGAGGAGTCAGTCTAGTTCACTGCAAGAGGACCCACGAGCCGTGTGTGAGTACGTGTGTGTGAGCACATACGTGTGTGCACACGCCTATGTGCGGGGCTGTGTGTGTGTGTTGGGGGAACACCCACCTCTTGGGGATAGGCTGGCCTATCTAAAAGTGCCTATATTTTTGGGGCTGGCCTGTGGCTCACTCGGGAGAGTGCGGTGCTATTAACACCAAGGCCGCAGGTTCGGATCCCATATAGGGATGGCCGGTTAGCTCACTGGGTGAGCGTGATGCTGAAAACCCCAAGTCAAGGGTTAAGATCCCCTTACCGGTCATCTTTTAAAAAAAAAAAAATAAAATAAATAAATAAATAAATAATAAAAAAAAAATAAAAGTGCCTATATTTTTATTTAAATTACACTTTTCTAACATTTGCCATCAAGGGTTTTTAAAGTATATTTTAAAATTAGCCTAATTCATTCAGTTTTTAATTGTTCACATTGGAAAAAGAAGAAATTTTGAAGGAAATAAATGTGAATAAAAACCATACAATTTCTAACTTACCATGCAACTATAGGAAAGAAAAAACACATAATGGGTGTTACAATTCTGAAACATCTGCTGACAGACAGAAATGGCCTTCTCTTAATAAAGGATGCATCCATAAAGGGCAGTTTCTCATGCACTATAACTTTATTTAAAAATCGGGGGCTAAATCTGTACCAATATTAAACAGTCTGTCTCCTTCAATGATAATTACCTTCTTAGGAGGTTCTTGTTTCTGAGTATATATATTAGTTTTCCCAAAACCCTGGCCAAACTTGACTACTGCTCCATCCACAATGAAGGTCACGGGAGCATTCTTCGGCTGGGACTGGTAGAAGAGTGGCAGTCCACACCTGCAAAAGGCAGTGAGTCTCTGGGAGGCTTCAGAACCCAAATCCCCAAACAGCAATTTACAAAGTGTGCTTAGACTTTGGGTATATTTTTGTTTGTGGCATAAACTAGTGATTAGCTCTTCCCAGTGTTTCCCAAAACTACTTGATAAGAATCACTTTGGGTGCTTGTTAAAACTGTTGTACAGATTCCTAGGTCCCTCCCCAGAAGATCCTGGTTCAGCAAATCTGGGGGGTAAGGCCTGGGAATCTGTCATTTTAATCAGCATCCCAAGTGATCCTCATCATTAAACAAGTTTGGGAAACGCTGCTGCCTCATGCTACTGATCTCTCTTCAGCCATAACTACTATCATTCTTTCCAGGGTAACTAGCTTGAGCATTTTGTCTGGGTTTTTGGTTTGTTTGTTTGTTTTCTGTTTTGGTTTATTTTTGCAGAGCCAAGAAGAATTGTGAAGACTCCACTGCAATGGCTGGCAAACTAATCCCTGTAGTAATCACCACTTTCATTGGCTAGCCATCATCACACTTTTTGGGGTAAACAAAGTAGACCTATAAGATATGATAAAACCAATTTAATCAATCCAGTGTGGTTGGGAGCTAAAATGCTTTCATATCCATTGTCCCCTGCTTTAATTCTCCAACTCTGAGTTCTCTGAGAGCCAGTGTAACTGTAGTTACATCAAGAATGTACTTACTATAGTTTAATATTCTCACTATTAACAGCCTAAAGCTGGAAATAATGTTTTTTGCTTTAAATAATGCTCTCTAAACTAAGGTTCTTAGGTTTATGGTCCTATAACAGGCTTTATAAATAGGTCTGGACTAAATTACTCTGTTACATTCACCATTTGACCCAGCAAGCCCACTCCAAGAGAAAACACATGTTCCCACCAAGATTTATACTAGAACGTTCATAGCAACTTCATTGGTAATAGTCCAAACCGGAAACAATGTACCTGCCTTTCAACAGGTGAATGAAGAGGAACAATTGATACACATAATAACTTGGATGAATCCCCAAAACATTATACTAAGTGAAAGAAACCAGAAGCAAAAGACACATATTATATTTAGTAGAACACATGTTGTAGAATTTACATAAAATTTTAGGAAAGGCGAAACCATAGTGACAGAAAGCAAGTCACTGCCTGAGAGGGGATAGGGGTGGAGGAAGGACTGCAAAGGGCACCTGGGATGCTGGAAATATTTTATACCGTGATGGTGGTGGTATTACACAACTGTACACTTCTGTCAAAATTCATCAAATTGTACACTTAAAATGGGCAAATTTTATTATATATTAACTATATCTCAATTTTTAAAATGTACTTTGTTAAAAACTCATTTTGGTGGCCAGCTGGTCAGGGATGTAACTTTGACTAGTCTCTTCCGGGTGTTCGTGCAGTTGAAGTTTGAAGGCAGTTCAGATTGTAAGGATAAAGACATAACAGAAAATTCTATCCAAATAGTTATTTTCCTAACACATTATGCCTTGACTTGCCTATGCTTAGAGAAAACTACACTGTTAGTACTTACTTTGCACACTTCTTCCTGTACTGTCGTTCAATGCCTTCAGGCCTGCACAGAAAATAGAAGTTAAATACTAAAAAGATATGGAAAAATCTCATAATGTATCAACTACACCACATTATTTTTTCAAATGCTAAATGGGCCTTTCAAAAGTTTTCATTTCATGGATCAACTGGTTAGCTAAACATGTATATTAATTTTAAAGCTCCAGCATTCCTTCCTTCCTTCAACAAACATTTACTGAGCCCCTAATGTGGATCAGGTATCTCCCTGGAAGAGGAAGAAGAGAATCAATATAGTAGCCGTAGTCATAGTAGCAATAGTGTAACAACAGCAGTAACAATAACAATAGTGGCAACCACTTATATAGCTTTCACTATGTGCCAGGAGCTACTTTATACATGTATTTATCCTTACATCCATTTAATCCTTATAGCAACCCTGCAGGGTAGATCATATTATTATTCCCATTTTATAGATGAGGGAACCTAAGCACAAAGCAATTGTATGATTTGCCAAAGTCATAGAGCTAGGAAGTAGAGGAGGTTAGATTCAAACTTAGGCAGTGAAGCTCAAGAGCCACACAATACTGTCTTAGATAACCAGCTCATCGATTAAAAGACTCAGTTCCACCCACACAGTTGCTTAACAGAAACTCACCCTTCATTCTTCTCTTTCCCTCATCTCCCATACCTACTTCATCAGCAAATCCTATGGATTTTATCTCTAAAAAAGATCTTGAACCTGTCTGCTTTTCTCCACCTTCCTCCTACTATCTTTGCCACCATTATCAATTCCCTGGACTACTATAATAGCTTCCTGACTGGTCTCCTCACTTCCCCTCCCCTTGTTTAGTTCAATTTTTTTTTTTTCCTGGTGGCTGGCTGGTATGGGATCCAAACCCTTGGTATCATAACACTGTGCTCTAACCAACTGAGCTAACAGGCCAGCCCTGTTTCAATTTTTAAATAGGCAATACAAGGGGGTCTTTTGAAAGCAAAAGATCACGGAAAAATTCATATTACCTTTTAATTCAATTTTTCCACAAACTTTTTGAAGTGCCCTCCTATATGCCCATGGTATACATAAGAGTATAAAATGAAAAGTAAATATCCTCCTCACTAGTCCTCCACCCACCCAGTTCCCTTCCCCAGAGGCAAATACTGTTGCTGGTTTCTTCTGTTCATCCCAGAGATAGCTGATGCATATACAAGCAAAGAACCCTGACTGGCATATAAAATATTTTTTCCCCCTTTTTTAGATGTGCACCATACCTTACACTGTTCTATACCTTTTTATTCACTTAAAAATATATCTTTTTGTTACACACATAGTTTATATATGATCCTTCCATATCAATAAAGAGCTGCTTCTTTCTTTACAAGGCTGCATTATATTCCTTTGTATGGATGAACCAAAATGTCTTTTACCTACTGGATAAATTCCTAGATGTGTGTACATTTTACATTCTGACAGATACTGCCAACTTATTTTCTATAGAATTTGAACAAATTTATACTCCCACCACCAATGTACTGAGAATTTGTACAGTCTCGCCAACTCTGTATGTTATTAAACTGTAATAGTTAATCTCACACAAGAAAAATAGGACCTCATAATTTGCATTTCTTAAGAGTGAAGTTATACATCTTTTCATAAATTTAATAGCCATTTGTATTTTCTTTTTTTTTTAAACTGTCAGTTCATATCCTTTATCTATTGATTTACCTTTTTATTTTATATTAAAGAGACTCGCAAATGTTAAGAGGCCTTGCAAATATTTCTTCCCCAATTTGTCATTTGTCTTTGATTTTTTTTTTCTGCCATGTGGAAATTTTAGATTTTTCTGTGGTCAAAGCAATCTTTGTTTTTTTTTTTTTTGTTTTTTTTTTTACTGGTGTGTGCCTATGTCATACATAGTTGGGCCTTCCTTACTCTGAATTTATGTCTAAAATAAAAATTCTAACCACTTATTCTACAATCTGCTTCCACTACTGTCTCACTTCAAATCATTCTCCACACAGAGACAAGAGTGGCTTCCCCAGACACCTAGAGTAAAATCCAATCTCTTTACTATGGTCTACCAGGCCTGACCACGTACAAAATCAGGCCCCTGGATCATCTTATACACTGTCTCCCCTGCTTCCTATGCTCTGGCCATACCAGTCTTCCTTCTGTTCTTTGAACAAACAAGTGCTTCCCAACCTCTGACCTTCCACACATGCTCTTCTCTCTGCCTAGAATGCTCTTCTCACCATGTTGCCACGGCTGTCCCATTCTCATCTTATGTGGTCTCACTTCCAATATAACCTAGTCAGAGAGGCCTTCCCTGACCACCTTTTCTAAAGAGGATCTCTATATCATTCACATGGCTTTCCATAATAATAATTACCTTATTTTTCTGTTTACTAGTTTTCTGTCATCTAACTAGACTGTAGCTCCATGAGATCAGAAACCACATCTGTCTCTGTCTCATCACTCTGTCCCCAGAGCTGAGCAAAGTACTGGAAACAAAGCAGACATGCAATAAGTATTGGTTGAAGGAATTATTTTAAGAATTCAGTTTTGTGAGGAAAATGATAAGCAAGGAAGTAAGTTCTTAAGTGGAGAAATGTGAAAGGGGTAAGGGGAACACAGAAGTGGGAGCACCAAAGTCTGCCTGAGGCAGTCACAGAAGGCTTCATATTCAGGGAATTACGAATAGTCTAGTGTCATTAGGACTTTAAAATCAAGGGAGTATCACAAATCATATAGATATAAAAAGGATTTTAATGTTTTACTATGAACAGTAGTTGTACTGTGAACAACTGTATGCTGATAAATAACATAACCTAGATGAAACGGACACATTCCTAGAATAAAAGAATGATACAAACTACCAAAACTCACTCAGGAAGAAACAGAAAATCTGAATAGAGTATATAACAAGTAAGGAGACTGAATTAGTAATCAAAACTCTGTGTACAAGGAAAAGGCCCGGACTAGTACTTTCATTTCTACTAAAAGTTCAAAAAATTATTAATACCGATACGCCACAAATTTGGGGGAAAAAAAGAGGAGGGAACACTTCCCAATTCATTCAATGATGCCAGTTTTACCCTGATACCAAAACCAAACAAAGACATCACAATGACAACAATAAAAACTAAAGATCAATATCGCTTAAGTTACTGGCTGAGTTAGCTCAGTTGGTTAGAGCATAGTGCTAACACCAAGGTCTGGGTTTGATCCCTGTACTGGCCAGCTGCCAAAAAAAAAAATGTGTGTGTGTGTATATATATTATAATATAATATAAAAAGGTGGCATACACACACACATACACACACACGCACACACATAGAGGAATATTACTCAGCCATAAAAAAAAGGAAATCCTGCCATTTGTGATAACATGGATGTACCTGGAGAACATTAAGCTAAGTAAAATAAGCCACAGACATAAAGTCAAATACTGCATGATCTCACTTATCTGTGGAATCTAAAATAGTCAGACTCATAGAAGCAAAGAGTAAAATGGTGGTTACTAGTGGCTAGGGGTGGGGGTAATGGGGAGTTGTTATTCAATGGGTATAAAGTTTCTGTTATGCAAGATGAATAAGTTCTGGAGATTTAATATACAGCATGCAAAATAAAACCACAATGAGATACCACTTCACATCCACCAGGGCGGCTATAATTAAAAAGATAGACAATACCAAGTGCTAGCAAGGATGTAAAGAAGTTGAAACCCTGATACGTTTCTGGTGTGAATGCAAAATGATGCAGCCATTATGGAATACACTCCAGCAGTTCTTCAAATGTTAAACAGAGTTACCATATGACCCCACAATTCCACTCCTAAGTATGCACCCAAGAGAACTGAAAACATATGTTCACAGAAAAACTTGTACACAATTACTTACAGCAGCATTATCCATAACAGCCAAAAAATGGAAACAACCCTAATGTCCATGAATTGATGAATGGATAACAAAATATGGTACTTGTATACAATAGATATTAGTCAGCCATTTAAGAAAAAATGAAGTACTGATTCATTCTGCAACATGAATGAACCTTAAAAACATTATGCTAAACAAAAGATGCCAAACAGAAAAGGCTGCTTATTTATGGTTCCATTTTTATGAACTATCTAGAATAGGCAAATCCATAGAGACATAAAGTAGATTAGTAGATTCCAGGGACTGAGGGAGGAGGAAATGGGGAGTGACTGGTAATGGATATAGGGTTTGTTTTGGGGGGTGATGAAACATTCTTGAATTAGCGATGACGGTTGCACAACCTTGTGAATATAGTAAAACCACTGAATGGTGCACTTTAAAATGGTGAGTTTATGGTATGTGAATTACATCTAAATTTTAAAAAAGAAACTAAATCTCCGAGGGTGGAGCTGAGGCATTGGGTTTTTTTTTTTTTTTTTAATGACTCCTCCAGATGATTCTAGCACACAGCCAGAGTTGACAATCACTTTGCTAAGGTGCACATGAAGAGCAGAATTGCTGAGGCATTCATTGTGTGCATTTTAGCTATACTGGATGCTGCCAAAGTGCTTTCCGAAGTCTTTATAACTATTTATGGTCCTTCTGGTACTGCAGGAGACTTCCAGTTGCTTTCTGACAACACATGGGTATTATTTTCCTAGTTGAAGGATAAGAAAACTGGGGCCCAAACAGGTTAGGTAACTTGCCCAAAGTCACCAAGTGGTGCTGCTTGGGATATAATTCTAAAAAGCCTGTGCTGTATATCACTTTAACATTCTACCTTTCCATTTACAAGTATTACTTGGTCAAATGTACTCCAATTCACTAACATCACTGGACTAGGGCACTAACAAGATCTTTGGTCCTGTATACCCCATCTGGTTCCTACTGGGACTCTAAATTCAACCTCAGCCCAAAGGGAGAGATTCACCACACAATGAACAGACATTTCCTAGGATCCTGAAATCAGCCAACTCCATAAGTCTGAGCTTTCAAAACACATAGAAATATCAAATAAAGGAGGCTGCATATTTCTCAATGAGTTAATCTTCAAATACCAGTGACAA